TTCCTGAACATTCAGTCTTTAGATCACCACCGAACTTTCGTGAGTAGTGACAAACATGTGAGCCACGAGTTGCTTCAATCACGGTTTACAGACTCCCAGTCTATTAACAAATGCAATTACCTGCCCAACTCCTACTCGGTGCTGAGGCACAGTTTGGTCGAAACAATTCGTCCCTCGGGGAACGCGAAGGTGAACGCGGCATCTAGCGCCAGCGTCGGGGAGCCAGATGTCCGAGCAATCATCACGTCCAGTTCCACCAAGTTTGATGAAAGTTCAGCAGATCATGAGCCGTATGCTGACCATCAAGCAATTAGCGCAAAAGCAGGCAATTATCCTCGATAGGGGGAGCCGTTAATCGTCATGGGTATGCAGTAGCATGGGGCCTGCAACTTCTTGCATATGAAATGCCCGTTTGTGATAGTGTTTCTGATGATGGACTCGTGAGAGAATCCGAAACATCAGGCAAATATAGTTCTTACCACAGCGATGGCATCTACTTCTTTCCAATTACTTTCTAGCACTCATGCTTTTTGCTTTTATTGGCAACAATCAATAATTTTTATATACGGAAACCTAAACTGATTCCTTGGATAGATGTTGCATCCTGACAATAACGTTCCTTTCCAAGTTGAAGGCCAGGGTTCAGCTGTGCTTATTTTTGACAGCTCCTCAAAACCCATTAGCTAAGAGGCGGCTAATACTTTTGCATTCATTCTTTCCATTGATTTTTCATGACAGAACCTAGCAAAAGGGAAGTATAAAACTGTTCCATCGCCGGAAAATTTTCGTATTTCATTCGAAATTTTACATTTTAGAAAAGCATGCCTAGAACTATATGTTTTGGTTAAATAGAAGACAACGGGGGCAACTTTAATATGTTTGAGAGGGTACTGTTGGGGTGTTGTGGAGGGTGTCTGAATGTCAAAAACCTGGCACCGCAGTCCTCAACATTACTGTTTTCTGCCTAGGCTATTTACTATCAGACACTTATTGCTACTCACAAAATATCAATAGACATTTTACTGAATTACTCGGCCTCGCACGAGATTTACGACCTCATTTATCATTTTGCCTACTGTGTTATTCACAATACAGACGCAGAAAAATGGCTTGCTTTTGAAGTAGTTGTTTTTTTTTACATCAGCAACAGTAACTGACCATAAACACATTTGTGTGGGAGCGATGTACTAGCGTTTTGATACGCACCGCAGTGACCGGGATGAAAAGATTTCTCAAGTACAATGCCTTCAACGGATGCTTAGGGTGAATGGCCACCGGCGAAACGCCGCCAACTAGTGTATGCGCATGCAATGCGAGAAACCGTATCCAACCGGCATCACTCTCTTGAGAGCAGTCATGAGGGAAACGAACGTTTCGAAAGCATGGGGCTGCCTTCTCATATCACTCTGTGTTGGCGTAGTCCACTGACCAAAGGCAACAACAACAATGCGCCGTGGCATGACCTCATGACTTCATTGCAGTGCGTAAATATAGATTATAGGAAGGTGAATGTTTTGTCCGTTGGTGGATTTAACCATTTCCTACCATCTGGCAGCAAGTAAATTCCAGGTTAGACGAACTTTTGCTCTTTTGAAGTTACAAATTTATCGAGCTACTTTTGAGTTAATCTTTCAGAGTTAAACATTCCGCGCCACGGCAATGCTGCTTCACCGGCAAGAAAGTATAATTTTATGAAGCTGTGTCTAATGTAAGATGGGGTTTAAGTTTCACCTTCTGAATGTAGTGCTTCCACTGACTTCTTCTGCCAGTATGTCACGTGTTGTCATGTCAAAGAAATCCCATTATAATTTCCTGCATCATTTTCTGTCCTTTATGTTCAGCACATTACTAAGCTTGTTTAATTGGCGTTGATAACCGTCTGAAATAGGTTCCCAAACTTAGAGAACACTAATGTGTTCGATCAGACTAAAGTTATTGCACTGTTGCACTGCTTTTAGAAGTAAAATGAAATATTCATTCCTACCGTAACTCCATTTGTGGGGACAGGGTTTTCTATATCCACTACCCAAATGAGAGGTATTATTAAATCTTCAAACGAAAGAGAAAAAACTAAATACGAAAGTTTTGTCCAAGTACTCTAAAATATGGGGGCTGAAAGGAAGATCAGGCAAAAAAGTTGAAACACAATTGCAGGTATTAAATCCTCTGCCTAGCTTTGGCAAACAATTTCTTAATGAAGCAAAAAGAGCGGTTTTGCTACTGAGATGGTATGGTTAACATAGTGCCATACAGAGTATGAGGGTAACAAGGAGCCCGTTGCTCAATAATTACAGCGTTTGACTTCTAATGAAAAGTTTGCAGGGTCCAGCCTCGGGCGGTGGACCACATGGGACTTGACATGACCGACTGATGACTGCAAATAAACAAGAAGTGGCCATTCCAATCCCCTTTCTCCTGGTCGGGAATGTTCATCTGCCTACACTGCTACGCACGGTGCGACTGGTGGCGGCACTCGAGAGTCAGCTCCAAGGCGGAGCATGACGAGTAGGTTACGTAAGTGATCCACGAGCGTTCATCAATGGATACCTTTTAAATTAACCTGCTGTCCTCTATTGGATGGTGTCGTGTGACACTTAAGTGTATAGTTTAGCTGACTTGTTCAGTAGGTGGATTGACCTAGAGTCAAGGTCAAACAATTAGTCCTACTAGGAGTAATATTAGAAGAATCAGGAGGAAAAGGAGGAGTTAGAGATTTCGGGTGGGTGTTGTTTGATACTACCTGCTATTTGAATGATAGTAAACCGTAGCTAACACCTTTCCAATTACTCAGCTTCACCTCCTCCATCTCGAAAATCTTCTTAAGCATACAGTTGGCCAACTTCCTATCGCCGTTTTCAAGCATTTACTGCTAGGAATCTCCTAGTAAAACGATATAGGCCAGTAAATATAATGTTTAGTCTACACTTAGATTAGATTGTGTCCCTTATTTTGCTTTTGGAATTTGAGTTGCATGATTTCAGGATTCTTGCTCTGCAGGCTAGGAGGTAAAGCAGTTTACTAATCTATTACCAATAAGACGATTGCATGATTTCAGGATTCTATCTTTGCAGGCATACAGGTAAAACAGTCGTGTTTTCCTTTTTAACTTACTTAACTATTTAGAATTTATCACACATAACCTTCGAAGGAGAACGGACTTAACGTCGTAGGTATCAAATATATAATGCTCAACTTAGTTATTTGGACGTGAGAGCATGGTCCCCCATGTAATACGTGTGAACTTACCCTACATTTCAGGGATGGTTAGGATAAGTATGAATTTTAGCCTAAAATATATTATGGAGGTTAGGCTTATGGTAAATGTTAGGGTTAAGAGGTAAGGGGTAGTTCATCGGTTACATTTAGGTCAGCAGTCTATGTGACTCTGTGAAGTCTAGCGTGACTCCAAATGTGTTACTGCGAGTCGTCTACATTGCCCTGTCGCAAAGTAATTGCTATAAATGTGCCACCTCGTGAAGTGTTAAACCAGAGGTCTCAAGATGTTTTCGTTAGGAAAATATTAATTAATTTGTGATATTAGTTGACTTTTAACACAATCCACAGACATACTGGTCACGTCAAGATGCCGGCACGTTTAAACAACCTGATGCATTTTAGTACCTATTCCTATTGCGTAGGCGAAAATCTACTTTTCCTTAAACAGGATGTACACAACGCGCAGCTTGTAAACCTGGAATTCAAGTGTAGTAGTCAATAGGCTTAAACATTATTCGGCAATTTAGAAACTTTTTAAAAGCGAAAGATATTTTTTATTTAAGTATACAATGAAAGGAAGGCGTAATTTGTTCCCAAAGGAGTAGAAAAAATATTTTTTCATTTATGTTTTCCATAAAACATATTTGAATTTATAAAGGCAGTCAACATTAACGATAAAAATGCATGCCATTTAAATAGCCCCGTTTTACAGTGCATACGTTTTACTAGCGCTCAGAAGGAAGCTCATTGAAAAGCTGGCATCCTATTGCGAGTGAAATGACTTCAGAAGAGACTACAATACAATCAGTATTACAACAGTACTCAGTAGGGATTAGCGAAAGATTATCAATCTTTCGCATATGTTGGCATGTTATACGAATTCTAGGCCGTACTGTAGTTGAACCTAACACAATCTGTAGACATATCGGTCACGCAAAGATACCTACATACATGTTACTGACACCAAGAACTGTTGTAAGTTGTGCAACTAATATTAACAGATGTTTATTTCTTAACCATTGGGCGCATTTTAGTACCTATTCCTAAAAAAGCCTGAAATTGCACCTCTGACATAACGTGGCGGATTCATCACTCAGTATACAAATAATTTTTAACTTTTAATGTTTATTCGGTCCCACCGATTACGAGAGCTATTCAGTGCACACCTATCTACATAGTTATTTTCCTTACGTTCTCATAACGCAGGTCAATGTTTCGCGTTCTGCTGTTATGTAATCACTGATATAAATGTAACTTTCACCTTGAAATTGGAAAATAATTTATCTAAAACAGTCAATGAAGATCAATATAACCATTTAGTAACAATTTCAATGTACGTATCTGCAACTTCCCCATGAAAAAAGCTGCCTGTACAACATACGACATCTCACTTTAGGACATCACACCGCTTTAATTCACGCAGCTCGCTATGCTTGTCGTTGAAATTCATGATAATCAGCTGTATATATGTCCGCCTCGTTCCCTGATTGGTTAAACTTGAATCCGTCATGATTTCTACTGGTAAATGTCGAATCATCAATTGCCTCAAAAGTCCACTGTCGACGTAAGACGCACACTCAAAATGACGACTGACAACAGTCATTGTTCTGCAGCCTATAGCTACACAACCGCCCTAGATATTTGCGCAATTTTGCTGAACATATTCGGCTGCTTCGCAAATTTCCCCGTTACTGTTCTTCTCTTCCTCCTTCGTTCTAAGAAGTCCGAAGGTCTGATCCTTCTTCGAGTCCTTTCCGCCGGCTGCTTAGATTTTTCGCTTATTAGCCTTATTGAAAAAGTTGTTGGTCTTAACCCCAACACTGGCAACATCTACATTGATGGCCTGATTTGCCTGCTATGGAGCAGTCGTTTCCTCTTCTGGTATATTTCCTTTCAAATCTACCACAGTCTTTTCTACTTCGCCTGTAACAGAGCCTACGAGCTGCTGCAGATTAGGAACTATCCCATTATCACGGAGAAACAGCGGCTCACGGCCTACATGCTTCTAGTCTTTATTGGCAGTTTCATTGGGGCTGTGCCTCATTTGCTACTAGCCTTTCCGCTTTCAAATAACTGCGCCTGTGATCCATTGCCCGATAACTTTGGCATCTTATCAGTGCTGTATGCTCAGGCTTTTCTCTGGATCGCGATTCTCGGTATCATTTATCCCGCCATTCTCGTTTATATCTGCATTGCTTTGGTTCTACGATTGCGGAACTCAGAAAGAGGTATTATTGCAGATGAACTAGAAGAACTCTACTTCTTGAAACCGCGACTTTTCCCAACATCCACAACCATCACTTCGACACCTGCGCCGCCAGTGGCCTCCTCTTCTTCCGACAGTGAACGAAATAGAGTTGGAGTCCTTGAGAGACCGGGTAATAAATCTGTTCCACATGCCTGGTCGGCTTCCTGCTGCATTGTACCTCTGACTGCTGCCTTCATAGTAGGCATAGCCTTCGAGTCAACTCAGCAATTGCTAAGTGCGGCTGGTGTTATAAACTACAGGCTGCGCACCCCAGCTGAAAAATTCAGTTTAGTATTGGGTAGCCTGTTTACCGTGCTGGTACCACTTATCCTCTTTTTCCACATCCCAGCGATGCGGGCACTGATCTTCGCTGCAATTGCGTCAATAAAAGAGAAGATCGGCAAGAGCAAATCGGCGGATACCAGTGACCTCCCTTGATCAGGCTTCACTTTACCAGCGGGGGACATTCCAAATCACTTGAGTGAATAAATATTAATTGAATTGTTTTAGGTAAGAAGTGATAAGGCATTGGGAGAGACAAAAAACACGTGATTTACCTTCAGTGTTTTTCATATCATGCAAAAGCTGTCAGGCCACCTGATCCGAAACACATTCGTTGTTGTACTTATATTCCGTCTGTTCAATATTCCAAATTTTCTGTTTGTTTAACCCAATGCATTGGCTCAGCGTTCAGTGCTAGCAGTTTTTCCATTTTGCATCCCTATTTGAACGGCTTGTCTGCATCGCTTAAACGTAAGAGTGGATGGACCGTCCCTCATTTTCAACTTTGCGCGCGATGGCTAAAAATCAAACTATTTTCGGACTCATTGACATTGTTATTTTGATGTGATTTATGATGCGATTTTTCATTAAAGAACAACATTCGCACGACAGCATCTTCTTTTTTCTTTGATGGAAGCTTTCGTTGGATCGATTGAAATACTATACATGAACGTGAAGGTAGCATTATGCTTGCACTGATGTACTTTAGGCACATAGTTACAAGACACTGAAAGATGCAGAGAAGACATGATTCACTTTCGGCGTTGTTTATGTAATACTGAAACTCTTAAGCCACCTGACCCGAAACACTGTGGATAAAGTCCTTATTTTCCGTCCGCGAACTGTTCACCGTTGCCTGTTTATTTAATCGAATAAATTCCCACAGCGTACTACCATAGCCCCGTTTCGGTTTGGCATCCTGATTTGAACGACTTTCTCTGCATCACTGAGATGCAGGAGGTCAGTGAAAATTGCTTATTTTGAATATTGCCTGTCATGGCCTTAAATTCAAAATGTTCTCGGACTCACTGCCATTGACATCTGATCTATCTTCCAATGTGATCTTCTATTAACAGGCAAAGTTCTCCCAAAGGCATCCTCTCTTTTTTATTCGGTGGAATATTGCGTTGAGCGGACTGAAATACTATATATGAGTGGTCAGCCAGCCTTATGGTTGCCGTGTGGCTTTCTGTTTAATTGAGGACCACTTTTTAGTAGAACAGTGAGTAATCTGCTTTTGCCTTTTAGTGCTCTACGCATTTTACGCACTGGCACAACGTGATTTTAAAAAACGTAAGAGGTGGGATTGGTCTTGTTCCTTACGATTGCTCGCCGACACTGGTTTGATTTTCACCACGAGGTGAGAAATGCTTGAGCATAAAAAGATTATTCTTTGTCGAGGTAAATACTTAGCAAACTGAAATGTTTATATTATGAACAATATGCATATAAATATATAGTACTTTTAATTCAACTGAAGACTAAAAATGCATAGTATATGTAAACGTTCTAGCACGTTCGTTTCGATTTAACGCATATTAGCTGTTGGAATCTTCGTCAGGAGATGAGAAATAAATTTGTTTTTCATGTAAAGGTTAGTCTGTTCATAGAATAATATTAAACATTGCGCTTGCCCCCTCTTTTTATTGTGATTTATGATCAGTTGTTAACAGGACGGTAGATTTTCTGCTGTAACCTGTTAATGCTCTTAAAATTTTAAACAGTGGCCCATAGCGAATGTTAAAACGTACGAGGAGCAATCGCTTTGCATGTCTTAACGATGGAGCACTGAGGAAATCTTCATGATTATGCGAAGTTCATTAGGCGATACAGGGTAAATTAAGGCTGGGTATTTATGAAACGATTAGACTTTGCTTCATGATATATCCAGAAGAACATAAAGAATACTACTGTGGACAATATGTAGTAGTACTGTGCAGTGACTACTATTTAATAGGTAGTAAAATGCCTAACACATTTAAAGGACTATATACGTTCACTTCAAGTGAAATGAGATGAAATACAATCAGTAAACTTCCTTCCAGATAGTACAATCATCAAACCAGCATCCCCTGATAACATAATTTCCACCTGTAGTTTAACTAAGCATTCGTCACATAAAACTTCCGTTGCGAAAATCTGTTGTTCACTGGCGTTCCAATTTCGAGTTAGGCAACCAATTAAAAATTGAACCAACCAAATAATTATTTATCACTGGACATTCACCACGTTTCACCCATGAAGCAGCAGGCACTCCTTTGCTTTGACGTGTGCTAGACTATACTTCCGTAAATAAACTCATCCCTGAGGATTAGTGAATTACGTAATTCTCTCGAAAGGCGACTTTACCTGTGCCTTAACCCCAACCCTAGCATTAAGAGGAAAACATCGTTTTACAACAAACGTAAACTAACCTCCAATCTGACTTTTGGCGTCACGTTTAATGTGAAGAAAGCTGTTCATAAGCATTTTCTTTTGAACAAGGTTGAAAATAACGTGTGACACTCGGATGGAAAATCATAATAGACATAGTCTATTACAGTGAATATCCCTCTTGATTATTACTAAATTATGACCTAGTAAATAAAGTGAATATGTTTGATCGTAATATTCTCAGTGCAAAATTACCACTGAGCTAATCGATGCTATCTGACCACTAATTGTGTCCAACTTCCAGTGGATGCCGAATTGTTTTGCATTTACTCGAATATAGAGTGAATAGCATTTCAATTTTCAGTTTATATATTTCGAGCTAGAAGCAAATTTATTTCATTCCTCGGATAGTTAACGTAAGTTTTATTTTTTCTACTGCATTTGATTAACAGTATGTAAAATTACGAATACTACTGGTGCAATATTATAATAATATAATATAAAATTATAATTATAAGTATATTATATATTATAACATTAGTAAGATTGTTATAATAATGCAGGTGGTTTAAATAAATTATATAAAACGGCGTACTTTAAATATGATTCCCTTTTTCCAAACTCGATTCTCTAAAGATGATGCTAGAGGAACACGTTTGCGCCATCCAGTGTTCGAGTAGACGCTAAGTGCGAAGCACAATAAATAATAACGAATAGTCTTTTATAAAATCTGAAGATTAAATTCGGCAAATAGATGTTTTCAGCCGTTCATCCTCGGGCTTGTTCAAATACATTTATAATGAAAATAGAGAGTGGGACAGTGCTTATAGCCGCCTGTTACCCTAATCGCAGAAAAGGAAGACGTGTTCATAAGACTGTCTTTCATAGGCGAGCACAAGGATCTCTACACGCCAATCTCGCCATGTAGGCGGCGTGAACACGGTGAGTTGTAGTCAAAGTACACTTATTAACCCTGTCCAACTGTACACTTAATTATCTCCGCTAGTGTAATGGCCTGATTAAGAGTTGCTGAAAACATATGTTTGCCAAATCGGCTTTTCAACCTAAACTTAAGAATATTTGCGGAACTTCCTTATTATTAAAACTCATCCTTATCTCACCACCCACATGGCAAAATTGGCTTGTTGGGATCATTGGGACTGGGCACTGGGAGAAAATAGGGTAGGCTGTGAGTAGTAGTCATGGGTTAAGTAGGCGGCCAGAAAACTACCCTCACGTGCACTGAGTAGAAATCTGTTACCAGAGGGTACGGACGAAATACAATCACCCCCTGGCGTGGAAGTTGGCCGAGGAGGAAATAGGGCGTGTATGGGCGTCTTCTGACAGCGAGGTAAGCCATTTTTTAGCTCCCGAAGAATAAATAGTGTCATTGAGAAGGGATATAGCAGATATTTTTCCCAAGCAACTTTGGAATCGGAATTAGGTTTTGCTTTAAAACTATTTTCGGGTAGCTTTGCGCGCTTAACTGCAAACTTAAATGCCCTGCATGTATTCTGACGAGTGCAAGAGTAGAAAATCACTGCGCTTTTTTCCGATACATCGCTCTATTGGTTAGCTTACACTACTTTTAATTATTCCTTTAAATAAATTAAACCAATAGCAGAAAATCAAACAATGTCTGTGAAATGTCCTCTATCGTTTTCACCGTCGTCGTTAGACTAGCATACATTTGAAGAAGGACGTAAGAGGCTGATGGCAACACGCTCGTAGAATTCGGCAGATATTCCTCGCTAAAACGTTCCCGAACGGGCGTGGTCCAATTTTCTGGCCATCTATTAGGCGCAGTTGAATTTATAGGGCTGTTGTTTAAACAAAATGAGCGGATTTGATTACAACGGTCGGCGTATAGAAAAAGAGTGACACTAACACTGAGAAAGCCATAAATAATTGATGAAGAGCTTTGCTTGACCCCGCGAATTAAACACAGATTTTAAATAAATACGTAAGCTGGTGTTGATGACAGGTAGAGTTTAAGAGCGGCATTGCAAACAAATAACACCGTTGCGTAGGCAAACGATTTGTGAATTTTTTTAAATATATGCCGCTGACATACTGGCAATCAATTAGGAGGTTTGGGAAACCCATAATTACCTAAGCTGATACAAACTACGTAACAATCAGACTTAAAATACCCTTCAAGTCTTTCATATAAACCAGTGTAACGTAGAAAGTAGCCCGTTCATCATTTTTTAAAGAAGGCATAGAAGAAAACAAACCGCTTTCATAGACTATGTTTTATTGGTGTTAACGTTTCGAAAGCATCCTCGTTTGCGTCATCAGAGTGGTGAGGTGGTTGTTCCTGCTTGCCGATAATTGTTTTGTCTCACTGCCTTGCTCATATTGTGAGCATGCCTAACGTACGGATGCTGACTCTCCTGCCTTTCGCGGATTGGCATAGGCCCATACATGGCGGACTGCACACAACATCTTCTGAGTACTGTTGCCTGCACGGCTGTTGTAGTTGCTGCTAGATCACTGTGACCCTGGTGTGAACTGGAGTGGCTGCTGTGGAACCTTCCTTCATAAAATTGGGTAGGCTGCAAATTGCTCGCTAGCGCCGTCGGCCTTGTATGGACTGACTGGAGTCCTGTACGGAGGGCGTAATAGGCCGGATTTAAGTCAATATTTCTATTGATCATGCCTACCGAGGACCAACATTCGATCACAAATCTGGCCATCTTATCATTAGATCGACTGATGGCTTTCGCGTCCTCGAAGGCAAAACTGTGTTTCGCTTGTGCTATGTGGCAGTACACCAATTA